ACCAAAACCAAAAACCCAACAACACACACACTACCTCAACTTCTTGTTTTCACAGGTCAACAATTGGGCCACCTGCACAAAATTCCAACAGCAGCAGTCATATTATTATTGGGATAATCAGACCATAAAGTAAAAAAAAAAAAACAAAACAGTTTTGTCCAGTCTTTGGCTAGGAGTTTTTATGAAAAAGAACATCCTATTCAAAGCAACTATGTTTCACAATTAATAACCAAATCAGACAAATCTAATAATCAAAAACAAAGACTGCTTCCAAATGATGTGATAAAACTATAAAATTTGGTTTAAAATGTTTAAAGTGTTCTCACTATAGGTAACATGAATCAAGTTCAGGAAAAAAAAGGCATGCGATATTTACACTAATAAACAAAAAATCATTTTAGATAATCACACAATGAGAGTAATAAAGCCTATTTTAATGGAACCAGCTCTGTAATGAAAGGCAGAATTTTGTGAGTATAACTAGGACTATGTATACAAGGAAAACTAATAAACTGTACTTTTAAGTGCACGGTCTACACTAAAAATAAGAGGCATAGAAGAACACTGTCTCTAGGTAAAGTCACTTTTAAGACCATGTGGTGACCAGGAGTGGCAGCACATATTTGTAATCTCAGCACTCCAGAGACCAACGCAGCAGGATCCCCTCAAGCTGAGGTCAGCCTGGGCTACACAGTGAGTTTAAGAGCAGCATGAGGTATATAGCTCAAGACCCCATCTGAAATCAAACCCAACCCAACTCAAATAGGCACAGTATCATTTTTTTCAAAAGCAAAAAGTAGGGACTCACTTTGTATCCTACCCTCTCTCAGCAATATACTATGCCAGTAAAGTCTTCAGTGCATTTCTGATAGCTATTAATAGTTACATCAAATAAAGACTGAGGTTATTTTCTAAGGTTCCCTATTATTTTACACTATGGTTAAAAAGTCTCATACATATCATTTGAATACAACTATTTCCTTAGGAGAGAATTAAAAGTTAAAAGACACTACTGGCTGATGTGTATTTTCACATCTTTAGAAATAGATTTTTAAATTTCTCTGTAGAAAGATCACTGCAGATTAACACTTTTGCTGGCATTGTAGGAGCTCTGTCCTTTCCTTTTGCCAGCACTGGCTATGACCACTTCTGAAAAACTTTTCCACCTGATGGCTAAAAAAGTCTCATTTAAATTCTCCATTTCTTTGACAGTCATAAGGATGAACACATTTCCATATTCTTACTATCTGCATTTCTTCTGTGAACTAGTTATTCCTTTTCAATCCTTATTCTAAAAGTATGGGTGAATATATACCTATGAAAACGGTAATTCATATTCTAAAGGCTATGACAAACTTTTACATGTTCAGGTTCTGATGTAAACCATACCTATCAGGGAGCAACACCTGATTAATATAAGACTCCTACATAAAAAGTGAAGAAGCAGCATCCAGAGGCATGTGCTGGATTAGGTGGTTATTCCAATATGGACACAGATCATCATCCATCAATTTGAAAAATAATCTGCCTGATTATTTCTTCTGCCTGATCTGCTTTTCTGAGAGTCTGATTTTCCACAATGGAAAGAGAAAAGTTTGCAACAGCAAGCGAGTAAGGTTGCCACCTGGAGTCCCCCTCCCTACAGTAACAGTGACAGAAGGGGGACTGGGGATGATGACATCTCCGTCAGACCGGAGGAGTGGCAGTGGCAGCTGTGATGAGACCACAGACTGGCAGGTGCTGAGTAGCAGCAGGGACCAGCAAGTCTCGGTATGTTCTCCCCGCAGGGCATATGCTGCAGGCTGCCAAGAGCTCCGAAGCCCGACTCCAGGGACGGAGGGTCATACCCACAGAACAGAGGACTGAACGTGGATTCTGAACATGTCAGTTATGACTTACTGGGAGGTGAGCAGCGTGACCAGGAAGCACGCACAGGACCCTATGGTGCTGGTGGATAAAAGAGGAATACAAATCAGTTCATGGCTGGGAATGGTGGCAAATGCCTGTAATCCTAGTACTCGGGTCACTGAAAGTTTGAGCCCAGCCTAGGCTATGTAGTGAGTTCAAGACTAGTCTGAACTACATGCTGAACCCTGTCTCAAAAAGAAAAAAAAAAGAAAAGCCAAGCCAAGCCAATTCAATTCAGAGTAATAATGGAAGAAAAAGAGGAACTATAAGTTATGAGAACTTTTATGTAGGTATAGTGTGTTTGCTATCACAGGTTTACAATTTTTAAAAAAATTTCCTTAGCAAGACAAACCAAGAAGTTATTAAGATTTTTCCCAAGTAATGCACAAAGGCTACAAAACTGGACCAGGCAAATGCTGAATAAAAGCTTTAATTTTTCTATCTCATTTGTGCAGCCATACCTTATTTTATGAAGGTTATAAATTCTTTGCCATATCACGTCTAACAATCAATACACTAGTGGGAACAGCTAGACATTCAAGACCTGCTCTACTGAAATGCCCATTAAGACTGTTATCCAAAGCCTTGTTTTCTAGTTACAAAATTTGACTTTAAGGTCAAAACCAAAGTACCTGTTCACACTGCACAGTGAATGCCATACAGATAACATACCAGTGTTTTTCTCTGCAAATATGCGGTGGACAGACAAACCCCTATAGTTGTGTCTGCTAATGCTGTCTGTTGCAAAATAAATGTTTTTTGGCCCCCCCCCCAAGATATGGATATGGAAGTTTAAACTGATTCCAAGGGAAGCTAAAATTGCATATCTGAGGGCTGTTGGCATAGAATACTTGCCTAGTAGGCACAAGACTCTAGGTTTAATCTCTTGTTCTGTCTCTCATCCCCTAGAAAAAATAACCTGAGATGAGGTACATGATGATTAAAAAAAAAAGAGAGACCCAGGAAACAGAAGCAGGTAGGTCTGGGCCAGCAAAAACCAAACAGAAACTTCCAAGAAATGTCCTCCTGCCAGCTTAGCTAGGCTGGGCCCCATACTTCCTGCATCTCCTAACAGCCTCTCCACTAGTGACGGGACTCAAGGCTGTTTTCTCAGCCCAGCATGGCAACTGAAATATAACTATCAATAAACTGAATAAGAAATTTCACTAGCTCTTTCAAGTTCAAAAGCAAAGAAACCCACCTACCTAGAATGTACTTTTTATTTCACTGGGGGGAAAAGGTGTTACAGTATGATGATTATAGTATGTAAAGCAGGGAAGAAAACTAGAAGTGAATACTTATTGGATGTGCTGAACAGATAAGACAGGAAGGGCTTAAGGCTAAAAGTCTGGAAGAAAAAAGCTTTGGGAAGAGGCTGGAAACAAACTGAACTACTTCAGTTAGCTTTTTCTTCTTTCTCTTTACAGATGCTCTGGAAGTTGTTTTTTTTTTTTTTTTTTTTTTTTTTTTT